TTGCTCACGGCAAAGCTGTGAACGTTCTCGACGTCGGTCAATGCAAGTTTCATCTCGATCATACCGTGATAAAAAACATCCCGTATGTCCTGTCAGTCGTGGTCGCGAGTTTTATCCCTTGAGGCAGTAGCCCCGTCATCAGCTAAGGTAGGCGAACATGGATTGTAGGCGTCCTGCTGCTATTTCCTTGAAGCGTCGCGGTGCTACGGGGCATCGCGTCCACATAGCTCTGGGCAAGATGGAACGATTGGTACTAGCTCGTCGGCTGAGCGCGTTATGCAGTTGCCAAGAGGCACAACAACTTTGAGTGGACCGGTTCAAGACAGCATAACGCTTCCGCTTCTCCCAGTCAAGCCATCGACGTTGTGCGCCTCTACAGCCCGTCCACATGCGCAGTTTCGTGGGCTCCACCGGGGGCCACTGACAGCGGTACAAGCGTCTCTGATGCCCTCCCTGGCTCCAGGTACACCCTTCGATCTTGGGCTGCGTGCGATATGTCAGGTTCAAGGTTGACGTCATCCAACCTGTACAAATTTATATGAGCCTCATCATAGGATGCTTCGCGGCGGTGGCACTTGGCTTTGTTGCAAGACATGGCGACGGCTGCGACCGAGCTGGCCGATTTGGCGCCGCTGCTCCTGAAGAAGGAGCGCGCGACGTCTTCGTTTGACAGCCAGCTGCTCGTGGACGTCATCCATGGCACCCGCGAACACCAAGCGCGCTGCCAGTACCTGTTGGGGTTGGTGATGCACGACCCGGTGCTGAGCGACCGCGACATGATCTCCCGCAACCACAAGGAGCGGTACGAAAAGGCGCTGGAAAAGTCGCACGCGTTCGCCAAGTTGCTTGAGGTGCACGGCATCACGGACCCGGACGAGCAAACGTACGTGTACTATGCAATCGGAGAACCGCTCCCGATCGACGTGCATCGGTCCATGTTTATCCCGACGCTGGAGAATCAAATGGACGACGAACAGCGAGCGTACTGGCTGCCGAAAGCCAAAGCATTCGAAATCACGGGAGCCTACGCCCAGACCGAGCTCGGTACGACGTCGGCATGCAACAAGCCGTCCAAACCCGTGCTGTTGTCCGTAGGCCACGGCTCGAACGTCCAGGGCATCGAAACCACGGCCCACTACGACCCCAAGACGCAAGAGTTTATTTTGAACTCGCCAACGCTCACGAGTCGCAAGTGGTGGCCCGGCGGGCTCGGCAAGACTGCCAACCACTGCGTGCTCCATGCGCGGCTGTTCCTGGACGGCAAAGACCGCGGCGTCCAGGCGTTTTTGGTGCCACTTCGAGACACTGCGACGCACAGGACGTTGCCTGGGATCACGTTGGGGGACATCGGTCCCAAGATTGGGTTCCAGTCGGTCGACAACGGGTACGTCGATCCATTGTGGTCGATCGAGGCTGGTCTCTCGGTGTGCTGTCAACGCGTGCTAATGTTTCCAACAGGTTTTGCGTGCTGGACCACGTGCGCAT